TTCATCCATTCAGTAGACATGCATGTATTGAATGCATCCTATCCTCTAAGCCACGTGCTGGGTGCTGATGATACAGAGATGAATTTTAAATTGTTGTGTTCTTTCCTTCCTTTTCTGTAAAGCTTTGCTTGATATAACCTCAGGAATCCTTTTATAAAATTATTTTATTGATTCAGCAAATATTTCTTGAGCTCCTGTTTTGGATCAAGCAGTGTGCTGTGTGCTATCCAGTGGCAACAAGATAGCCAGGCTCTCTGCCTTTCCAGAATATTCAGTCAAGTCTGGGGCCAGCTAATAAGGAAGGTGATATTGGAAAAATTACTAAAATGAATTGTTAAAAATGATTTGGTTTTTTTCAACTTAGGCATCCTCCTCATTACAAAGGTTTTCCTTGGCCAGAGTGTTCAGGCTCGTGAACAGGACTCCATCAGTCAAGCCAACTATCCATTGGTTAATTCGGTGTTCATTCCTCGAAAATATTTGCTAAGTATGTCTGCCATAAAGAGAAATCTGCTTTCAACTTTCTGAATACAAAATATTTGTATTTAATACAGATGCTTACAGTTTAACCTCTACCTAAAATAGTTTGTAAACTTTTCTACAAAACAATGTTCGTAGCTACTGAGCTTCATTTTTCTAACCCTCCACTTCAATGTCATTTATAAATGTGTGTGTGTAGATATTCTAGTTTGTAAAATTTTATTTTATGTTTCACACACATATAAATACCATATGTGTATTATATGTGATATATATAATATGTATTTCAAAAGATAAAAACTTTTATCTTTTAACAACAAGGTTTTAGAGTAGTACATTTGTCAAAGCTATATGGCCACACATTGAATAGACAAGTGAAAAAATACAAAAAGGAAAATAATATGAATAAAATTAAACCCTACTAGTCTATGTGGTGAAAAGGTGACTAGTAAGTATTTACAGAATTAAGAAACTATCTGTGGTGGGGGAGGGGGAGGGGGAGATATAAGAAAAGAAACATCGTAACATAATAGTTGGAACTTACTGAGTTTGTTGTTTATTAATTCATGTAAGAATGAAAAAAGTATATTATGTTTACTTTTGAAGAGTATTTGTTTTGCCTGTTTTTGTTTTTTATTTTACTCTAGATTCTATAGTGGGACAAAGAAACTGTGATTGCAGCTTTCGGCACTGCAAGTGGTTTGTCTTTGACCATGACTTTGTTTTGCCAGAATACATCGTTGAATTTGAGTACATTACAGGGGTATGAATGTATTTTTAAAGCTGGAATTCCTTAAATGAGAACAGAACAGTAATTTGCAGTCTAATAGTGTTATATCAAGTTTGTTTTATATATGCATGTGTAGTTAATTTTGAAAGCAAATCATTATGACACCTAAATATTTTAATTATGCAACTATATTACATGAGTAGTAAATGGCTATAGTCTCACTGGAAAAGATTCAAACTGTATTGAAGAATATAGAATAAACATGAAAATCTGCTTACGCTTCAACTCCACTGACACTCCCTCTCATGAAGGCATCCACTGTACACAGCTTTGTGGGTTTGCTTTTAGTTTTTATTCTATGTATTTCTATATCATGTGTCTTTTATTTGTAGGAAAAAAACTTATTTGTCATTTGTATTTGTAATTCACAAGTTAATTTTTAACTTGTTAGATTTTTCCATCTTTTCTGGTATGGATCCTGAATTTTATGTCTCACTTCAGGATGCATTTAAATAAATATTCTCTATTTTCTTCCAAATCTTATATAAGTTGTTCTAAAACTTTTAGCTTTTTAATTCCATCTGGAAATTGTTTTGTATTGTGTGATGTAGGGTGATCAAATAATATTTTTTCTAAAAATGAATATAGCTACTTGACAAGCATCATCTTTTTTGCTGTATTTGAAAATGCCATCTTTATTGTTAAAATTATTTTCATATACAAGGGGTCTATTTACAGATCCTCCTATTCTGTTCATTGATCGCTTTGTCTAATCTTGGACCCCTACCACATTGTTTGGGTTATTACAACCTTGATGATATGTTTTGATGTGTGATAGGGCAAATTCTCTTCTTCTTCTTCCCTCACTCCTTAAAAAAAAAATTTCTTGACTATTCTTGAGCATTTCCTTTTCCAAATAAAAGTTAAAATCAGCTTGTTAAGTTCTATTTTAAAATCCTATTAGAATTTGATTGAGATTGTATTGAATTTAAAACTTACTTTGTGGTGAACTAAATACTTTTCGGTATTGGGACTCTCATCCAGGAGCATGGTTAAGTTATTCCATTTACACAAGGCCTCTCTTACAGTTTTATTTATATAGGTCTTAAATATTTCTTGTTAAGTATTGTTCTGGGTATTTATATTTTATATTGTTATTATGAATGGGATTGTATTAGTCTAGTACACTTTCAGCAAAAGACACAGAAACCCAAACAAATAGTAATTAGAGTAACTCAAATAATAAGAAGTCAAGAAGTGGGCAGTCCCTGACTGTTGTGACTATTCAGTGACTTCAGCAAAGACATTAACTCCATTATTCTTCCGCTTGCCACCTTATGAGCAGTTTTGAACTGAAGATTTAGTTCTTTCTTCACTTCTGGGAAGTTTTCTTCTCTTAATTCCTTGATTATTTCTTCTCTTGTATTCTCTGTCAAGCCTCCTAGAACCTTTATTAGTTAAACATTGGACATTCTTAATTGAGCCTCCATGTCTTGTAATTTTTTTTACATCTCCGTTTTAAAAATTCTGTGTTCTGGGAGAGTTCCTCAATATTAGCTTCCATATTGCCAATTTGATCTGCTGCCATATCCATTTGGTTGTTCAGAGCATTTATTATTATTTTTTATTTCACTAATTGTTTTTAATTTGATTTTGAAGTGTTTACCCCATTCTTTTCTATAGTAGATGCTTTATTCTATTATAGATACTTTATTCTCCCAAATTTAAAAAGAATTCTCTTATGGACCAGTTTGGGGTTTTTTAGAGCCATTTCTGTTTGTTTCATGTTTTTCTTGCTTATCCATCCACAGTTCTTACCATAATTACCTAATTACCTGAACACTTAATTACCTAGAGCATCCTCCTGCTACTTAACTTGTTCACTCTGAACACCAAGTTTCTCAGGATCTGCTCTTCAATATGGTTATCTCTTGCATATGTTTTGGCTACCAGCTATATTTCTGCTCCCTTTTCTCTGTCAATTACTGAATGATTTATGTCTCACAATTTTTAGTCTTTTGTTGGTACCTTCTTCACTGTTTTTAAATTATGTTTTGCCAGTTTTAAGGACTATTCAGTGGGAGGGGATGAATATACCCATTCTTAGCTCACAATTTTAATCTACTCTCAGATTTCTTAATATGATTCTGATCATCATAGATATTACTATATAACTGAAAAAACTTAATTTTTATCTTTTCTACATAGACTATTTCTTGTTCAAAATGATAAATACAACAACCAAATCTTTAACATTTTTTAATACATTTTTCAGGTCAAGGCTCACTCTTTATTTTCTTCGTTCAACAATGTTATTCTAGAAGAAAGCAAACAGAATTCAGAAGGATCAGTATTGTCCCAGGATTTGAAATTTGATGAAGAAGTTATAAAAATGGAACCCAGGATCAAGCCGAGACCAAAACTTATTAGTTTGGATGATAAAATGATACTTTCCCTTGCGAAGACTAATATTTACAGTCATATTGTGGTAAGTATTATGATAAATAAAATTTTGGGACAGAAGCTTTGAATTTGGAATCAGAACCTATCATAGAAGTCTAAAGATACTAAACCACCTATCTGATGATGCCTGGCATCGTGATGTCAAATTTAAAAGTGCCCAACCCTTTTCTTCTATGTGGACTAGATCAGTGCTGTCTGGTAGTAATATAATATGAACCACACATGTAAGTTTAAACTTTCTATTAGCCATGTTAATTTTTTTTAATTAAAAGGCAAGATTAATTTTAATAATATATTTTAGTTAATCCAATATACCCAAATATTATTTCAACACGCAATTGATATTAAAATTCATTAATCAGATAGTTTCATAGTAAGTGTTTGAATTCTGGAGTATATTTCACACAGCACATCCCAAGTCAGGCTAGCCACATTTCAAACACTCAATACCTACTGTATTTCGAGAGGTAGCCTTCTGGTTTGCAAGGGATTTTATTCCTGAATAACAAATAAACTCTCCTTAAATGATTAAGATGAAGACAGATAAGTTTCAAATCAGTGTCCAGTATTAAATCAACATAAAATATGGGAGCTTTATCTTTACAAAATTCACAATATTTGAGTTAACTTATTTAAGCGACTTGCTTTACACTGAGGCAATTCTATTGAGATAATCACGTTAAGCCTACCTCCCTCTCTTGACTTTTAGATCTGTCCATTTCGACTCTGCTCCTATTCTATGCAAACTGCCTTTATCTCTGACCTAGACTCCTGCCATAGCCTTCTAACCGGGCTCCCTCTACCATCACAGCATTGCACAACTCCAGGTGGCAGGGTCTACATTGTATTAATGGGTACTGTTCATGTGCTCCTTGGATACCATTCACTGTATCACCAAATATAACTCAATAGAGGGGAGGGGTGCCTCCTAGAGCTAGACAACAGTGGCTCTGTCCTGCTTCCACTTTGTGCCCCCAACTCATTCTCCATGTTGAAGCTAGAGTAATCTTTTCAAAATGTAAATCTAATTGTGTCACCTGTGTCACACCTCACTGCTTCTACTTGAAATCCTCAAATGATTTTTTCTTTTTTTTTGTATGTATGTGTGTGTGTGTGTGTATATATATATATATATATATATATATATATATATATAT